CCCTCCTCTCTTATAACTGATCCTTTTTCCATCTGCTGACCTTTCAACATATTATCAACTCCCTACAGGTACTCCAGAGTGAAATGACCTTTTGCACTTCCCAGAGTCTTTTGGGAAGAGTAGGTGGCAGTAAGTAAGTAAATAATAATAATAATAATAATAATAATAATAATAATAATAATAATAATAATAATTGCAAAGAGCTAGAAGTCCCTTCCCTCTTATTAACATACACACACCCCTGCTTGCCTCCAACTCTACAAAGATGGCCATTAAATTTTTCTCCAAAATTTAACAGCAGCATGAAAGGGGAGGGAGGGGGGCAGGGCAGAGTTTCATTTGGATTTTTGCATCTCCTCCATCAGCAAGGGAGGTTTTTGTCTTCTTATTCAGAATATGTAAGAGTTCCTAAGCTGTATATTGCTCCAGGTGAAACTCAAAGGCTCCTGGCCGAGCACAGAGCAGAAACAAAGAAATATTATACTGATTTTACCAGAAAGGTCAAACAATAATTTGGGATGACACACCACGTAAAAAGTGAATTAAGCCAAACAGCACAGAATGATCGGTTAGGGGGCTGTGAATCTTCAAAACATTAAATCTCACTTCAGGTTGTTAAAATTTTTTCCTCTAGATGTGTATTCAGTGTTGGATGTCACTGAGAGTCAGGCAGCATATAAGTTTTGTGATTATGATTACAATTTTCTAAGGAGCATAACAACATCGAGTATACCATCACAAAAGAACTGGCTGGTTGAGGAGAGAAACAATTGTCTTTGTACCCAAATGCTACATATAACCTGACATCAGTAAAACATGCAACTAGTCTCTGCATCCAGTCTATAATTCCCATCTTCGGAATGACTTCAAGCTGCGGGTCTCATGGCAGAAGCTACTTGCCATTTGCTTTTATGCAAAAGCTTGTTTCTCACTGCCAAAATGAATAAACTGCATTTCTACTGCTGTAGTAGTGGGGGGAGCTTCTATTCCTGTACTTGTAGAGATCAGGGTGACCCAGTTCAGATAGTTTTTTTTCTTAATTATATGACAAGGTACATAGTCATATACACAAACCCTCCTTTTTCAGGAGATGGGAGACTCCAAAACAAGTCTGTAGTATATGGAATTCTGCAAATCTTTTCTACAAAAAAAGGCTTTTTAAGAAAGCCACAATGTTTTACACAGATACCTACAGAGAAACCATCATACAGCATAAACAAACTATATACAAAATTTACTTACCTAACATCTCAGCCTTAAGTTTTTCATTACGCTCTTCTATTTGTTTTGGCAGTCTCTAAAAAAAAGCAAACAGAAGACCAATTCTACAAACCTGCTAAGCAACTTTATTTACTCATTATTCGGTATACAGAGTTTGATGCATCACTTGATGATGAAAAGATCAGAAGGACACAATTATTGCCAGTACTTGCTTTAAGTTCACATACAACCCAGGCCATTATCTGATATTAGAGACCCACGCACACCAGTCAAAGACCTATTCTGCTCCCATCTAAGACAGAGAAATAGCTCATTCTTAGGCTTCCTAATCCCATCATAGAGGTGCCCATCATACAATTACAGACTTTGATTTTCTTTCAAGTCATATAATTCAGAGACATAGACAGCCCCTTCATAATTGCGTTTAAGAAACTTCAAAGCCATTTCTTTTAAAAGCCTACAGCTAAGCATTAAAGATGTTACATAAAGGAGCGTGACATCTTTAACATCTTCAGATACAGTAAATATATGAAGATGCTCCCCCATAAGAACATCCTGATTTTGTGATGTTTCCATATTTTAGACAACTGCCCTCACCACCCCCTTTAAAAGTGGCTATTAGGATTATACATTTCTAAAATTAAAAAACAAATTATTGTGGAGGGGACCAAAAGCCTTATCTTCTGTTCTGAAGAATTTGAAAGCAAATGCTCTTCAAAAAGCCACAAAAAAGAACACTGCATTAACCAACATGGCCTTTTGTTCCCTCCATGGCAGATTTTCCCCACACTTGGAGACTGAACTACATCTGTGTCCTCCATCCCATGTCTGTTAGAAGGGCAAAACACCAACTTTCACCAGAACAACGAAAGGAACTAAATATTAAGGTATAAGTGATAATGCGACATATGTGCTAGAGCAAAGACAGACTGCACAGCATGCTAGCCTTGTGGCAAACACAGAATACTTTTGTTCATCGTCTGCTCCTAGTAACTTTACAATGCTAAAAGAGATAATCAGTGCTTGCAAAAAAACAAAAACTGAGCTAAATTGACAGCACTGTCTCAGTACCAGAAAAGGTTGTCCCTCACTGAGAAGCACAAACACCTGGATCTGACCATTCCACGGAACAGATACTGCTGAGAGAGAATCTGCACTCAATCCCAGCCAATCAGGCCGGCTGCCTTCCTTTCGTTCCAGAGTGGGGTGTTGCCCACAACTGAAGTGGAAGCTTCAATTCAAGAAGCTTGTCGCTAGAATGATCTTCCCTCCTCTCTTATAACTGATCCTTCAACTTGAAATCAGGGTTATCGTTTCAGTGCCTATCCTTCTCTTCACTCCCCATTCCTTCAGATCATGTTTCTTAGACGGGCATCTTTTACCAGTGTCCAGAAAAGTTCTGGGTTTTACAGGTATTACTATTACCATCTCCTTCATTACAAAATTAAGTTTACCATGCAAGCTTCCCTTGCTTGATATACCGATGGGTCTTTTTCCAACAGGTTTTTGTAATCCTCCAAGGCTTCATCTAGCTTTTCTGTTTTTTCATACAGTTCTGCCCTCCTCAATAGTGCTTTGATATAGTTTGGGTTTAACTCCAGGGCTGAAAAACAAAAAGAGAGCAATAATACAAACACCTTACTTGCAGTATTTCTACAAGATACCTGTAAAATCATGCTGCAGTATTATTTAGCAACTCCATTAATTTCATTACACAACATGCTATATGGCAAAAAGACTAAGCAGATGTTAAGTATCAAGATATGTCTTTAGATGTTTGCTACTTGGAACTCAATGTTTCTATATCATATTGAACCCGAATCTATATTCATAGGACTGAAAACAATCATTTATCTGCTTTTGATTTCGCATGTCGTATGAACCAACAATGTACAGGTAGTCCTTGGGTTAAGAACACCTGGTTTAAGGACAACCCATAGTTAATAAAGGAGCCTACTGTAGCAAAATTCGCGTTAAATACACAATGATTCAAGTTGGTTCAAGTTCATTACACAATACTACTTATACAGTATTATACAATAATACTGTTCTGGCTTAATAGAAATTCAACTTAAGGATAGAACTTGGGAACGGAACTCGTTCTTAAACTGGGGGCTACCTGTAGTTCATAAATTATCTAATTAATGGTTTAATATTCTGTGTGAAGCCAGTTGATTATTATTTATTCCATAAACCACAGCTTAGTAGGATACATGGATCTCAGTTAACAGTTATGAAAATCAACCTGATTTCAGTGTTATTGGCTCTGCTCCATTCTATCCAGCCTATTTCCAAATCCCTCTAAACATGCCCACCTCTTCATTTCCTCCCCCATGTCTAGTCCCCAAACATAAACATAATAATATCCTGACCAAGAACAAAAGGACAAGAAGAAAATACCTTTGCTGCAGTCACTTATAGCCATTTCTTTCTTGTCCTAAATAAGAGATAACACTGACATTTAATGTAAAATATAATTTTTTTAATATTAATAAATATTGGGAAAGATTATATGACAACATAAAAAGATTATGTGCTCAGCATCTTAATCCAGAACTAGGGGACAATAAGTCAGTGAAACCAGAGGCTAAGAAAGGTATGCTTAGCATCTGTAGGCAAAGTCTAACCTATTCCAAGATTTGCAAGAATTTTCTGTTTACTAGAAAATAAAACCAACCAAGTAACCATAAAAGATACAACACTAGTTAATATCAACAAGCCTTGACCACAAACATCTATTACCATCTTCAGTGTATGCCAGGCAGGGATTTTCAACTTTGGGTTGGCATTGTGAGTCAACCAAAAATATTACACTCATCCCTGCTTCCCCTTTCCAGGCAAGCCCTTCTCATCAGCCTTTCTCAGGAAGCATGCCAGGGAGAAGGCTGGCAGAAAGCCTATTCATTAGGTTAGCAGCATCCAGTCCTCCTCCACCACCTGTCCTAGTCTGAAAATGTCCAACGGGAAGAGCAATTTGCCTTTCTACAGCATGCTAGCTGGGGAATTCTGGGAGTGGAAGTCCACGCATCTTAAAGTTGCCAAGGTTGAAAAGCACTGCTATAGCAAAGTCTCTTTCCCAGCATTCCTTTCAAGTGAGGGTGGGAATATGGCAAGGGATCACAGCTCAACCCTAGACAATCTCACCCAACTCTACAGCCGTAGAGGAAGGCTGGCCAGTTAGCAAATACTGGCAATACACTCACTCTGCTGCAGCAGAACTGTTCAAACTTAATACAGTTGCACTGATATCTGAAATGTCAGATCAACTTTTGTTCTGTTACTCCCCCCCCGCCCCTCCTTCTCCCATAGCATGTAAAAGTTCTGACAGAAAGAAATATCAGTTTTATCAAAACTTGCCAATTTACAATCTTGGAAATTAGTATTACCTGTTTCATTCTTGCTGCAGCTCTATTTGAATACAAAACGGACCTGTCTGTGTTACAATTGGCTGGACAGACCTGCAAGGCTTTGGCATACGAGTCTTCTGCTTCTTTATACTCTGAAGTCAGGACAGAAAAAAACTGAAATTGTTTCAGCAACAATTTTTTTTTTTCTGAGAACACAAAACTATGCAGAAATATGACAAAATCAACACTAATATGGTTAGGGACACATTTGTGGGACACAATGTACTTCCCCAGCATAAGTTCAAAACAGTACTTTTTCTCTTGGAATTAAAAGCAAAGCATCAACACATAACTTTTAAATATAGCTAAGATTCAGGATAATCCAGTCTGTAAATAGGTATTATTCAGCTATGAAAAACTTTTACATACCAGGAGGTTCCCAAGCAAGGAAACATACAGTATGTCAATATCATGCTAACATGAAAATACTACATAATTTGGATTTTCTGAGTTTATACATTTATGTTAACACTTGATTTAGATAGCCAGAATCCAATTAAAGGCTAGTAAAGGCTTATCAAAAGCGAGCATTTACAAAACCACTGGAGCTTTAAGTAGGAATACAAAGGTATTATTGTCTAAATAATTCAAGTTTGCTCTAAGCAGGACAGACAGTATGTTAGGAGATAACTTCATAGACATTACAAAAGGGACAAACTCACTGGCTGCGATTAGGAACTCTACTATTCTGGCTAAAGGGATTGACTGCTTTGGAATCAGAACAATTTCTGGAAAAATAGCAGCAGCAATAGATTTTTTTATCATAGTTAAAAGTGATTTCAATATACTGGGGAAAGTATATTGAGCTTAGACTGTCCTACTGATAATACTAATATGCAGAATATAGACATCTTCCAGAATGAAACTGGAAGTCTTCTAATTGCAACTTTTCTAATGAAGGATGCACACAATTAAAATACTGCGTATCCTCTTGCCCTTCTTTTGCTTGACACTTCTGTGAAAAATAGGAAAAACCATCCTATATCTGAAACTGTACATATGTGTGGAAGAGACCAGAAGTACCACCATTCATGGTTCAAGCCCTCCTGGTTCCACAAATCTGCAGAACAACTAAAATCCTAAATTACACAATTCATTGACAGCTTGGGACCATCCAGTGACCCATGAACCAATAGATCCTGCAACTTTAGACCTTTTCTCAGCCAAGCATTAATTGACAATGAGATGGTAAACATAGCATAGGTGTATTATGTGCATTGAAATTATCAATTCTTTTTTTGTTTTGTTTTGTTTCCCTTTGTAGAATGATTTGGGACAATTGTTTATGGGATTAAAAAGAGATACTGCTAAAATGCAAAGCTGCATACAATAAAACCTTGATTTAAAGGACCAATTGGGGTAAGAGTATCCATTAGAGCTGAAAGGCCATTTGATAGGAATATGTGAGTTAATCACAAAAAATATAGGTGTCATTTTAAACTACTCTCAAACTTTGGGATATGCTGAAGGGATGAAAAATGGCATCAAGAGGGAGAAGGAGAATGTTCCACTATCTGGATCAAAATATATCCCAGTTCCAGTGTTACCCATTAAGAATCAACAGAAGTCTTAATATTACTAAACATAAAACAGTATTTTCCTTCCAGAATTTCAGCAGTAGCCACAACATGATATAATCATCTCCAAACCAAGCTGGTAAGGGTCTGTAATACCAGGGCTTGCCATTCTAATACTGGCAAAGAGCTGCATGTGCAAAAGTGTTCCAAAGCAGTAAGAAAAAGCCAATTAGGAAAGTGGGTTAGAGAAGGAGCAAAGAAGAGGATTTGATGGCAACCAAGAACTCAATTCTAGTTAAGAGGGTACTTCTCAGCCAGGAGAAGTTGACTCTTTACTAAGTTTTTTTTTTTTCATTTGCTGGCTTCAGCTGGCATATATTTTTTTTTCCAGAGAAAAACTCAGGTAGACACTAATATGCAAGAGCACTATTTTTTATTGTAAGTGGTAAGCAAAGCATGTCTCAACAGCTGGCATTAGTTGGCTGGACTATTCTGCGCTTAGAAGCTAAGCAGGGCCAGGCCTGATTAGTACTTACAGGGGTACCATCAGAGAATCCCAGAGCTGAAGGTTAGGCTGGGTAATTAAAAAAGCATCTTGAAGGAAGGCAAGAGCAAACTACTCCCATACTGTTGTCAAGAACCATGTGGTGTCCAGGAGCTGAGTTTCTACCTTTATCCAAGCAAAACATCCAGGAAATTGAAATGCTCTGCAGAACCTGGACAGAAGCAGATACTTTTCTCCTATGAGGAAGAACATCTGCAAATCTTCCTGAACAATGCATCCAATATCACTCCTTCCCAATTCTGATTTAGCCTTTTTTCCCCTTATTTCTTCTCAAAAATTGTACAATTATTGCCTTAACTACTTTCTTCTATCTTCTTTACAAAAGTAGACAGTAGACACCTTTGCAAGAAATACTGCCGAGGTGGTTTTCTAGTTATGCTCTTCTTCTAATGCAAACGCTTTCACTGGATTTTTCTACATTACTATGTTTTTTACGTACAGTATATTATGTTTATGCAGAATTCCCCTGATGTGTTATCATACTCAGTTTAATGTGCAATTCTAATCTGTATTTTGAGCTTAGCTATTTTTTGTTCTTCTTTCAAAACCCAACTATTACTTAGAGAGCTTTGTCTGCAATCTTTTGGAATACCAGATTTTCATTAAGTGCCTATGGTTCCACATCTCACATTCCTATGCACTGGTGTGTTTAACAGACATACATGTAATGTGTATGCATGAATGTAAATGAACATACAGTGGTACCTCGGGTCACGAACTTAATTCGTTCCGCGACTCTAGTCGTGAA